AATCATTGTCACTCTCTACTCTTGCCTTTTCTTCTCCTGTGGTTTGGTGCTGCCTGTCCTTTCATGGTTTTGTTTGCTTTCACTTTCTGTGTGCAGAATTCCTTGAAGAATCTTTTGTAGTGGTGGCTTGGTGGTCATATATTTTTTCAGTTTCTGCTTATCGAGGAAGGCTTTTATTGCTCCATCTATTTTGAATGATAGTTTTGCTGGGCAGAGTATCCTAGGGTCAAAGTTATTTTCATTCAGTGCTCGGAATACTTCACTCCATGCCCTTCTTGCTTTTATGGTTTCCATTGAGAAGTCTGCTGTGAGTTTGATGGGTTTACCTTTGTATGTTATTTGTTTTTTCTCTCTTACAGCCTTCAATATTCTTTCTCTATTCTCTGTGCTTGTTGTTTAATGATAATATGTCATGGGGTAGTTCTATTTTGGACAAGTCTGTTTGGTGTTCTGGAGGCTTCCTGTACCTGTATGGGAGTAGTTTTCTCTAGATTTGGAAAATTTTCTGTTATTATTTTGTTGACTATATTACAAATTCCTTTTGCTTGCACCTCTTCTCCTTCTTCAATGCCCATGATTCTCAGGTTTGGCCTTCTGATGAAGCCGGTGAGTTCTTGCATATTCCTTTCATAGGTCTTGAGTTGTCTAATAGTTATTCAGTTTTTCCTATAATTACCATTTCATCTTCACATTCTGAGATTATGTCTTCTGCTTTTTCTAGTCTGCTGGAGTAGCCTTCCATTTTATTTTGTATTTCTGTTTCTTTTTCCTGTGGTTTTCCATTTCATGGGTCACTTCCTCTTTAATATTGTCAATTTTCATCCTTAATTTGTCTCTCTATTTATGGTGTTCTCTGTTTCACTTTGGTGTTTATTTAGGGCTTATATAATTTAATTTACTTGTTTTTGTGTGTTTTCATATTCTTTATTTTTTTGTCTTGGAATTTCTTGAGTGCCTCTTGCATGTTTTGGTTGACCATATCTTGTAACATCTCTATGAAATTCTCATTGATTACTTGCAGAATTTCTTCTTTCAGAGTGTTCTTGTGGACTTTGTTGGGTCCCTTGGTATAGTTTATCTTTGTTTTGTTAGAGTCTGGATCTGTGTATCCGCTTTCTTCATTTCTGTCTGAATCCTGTACTAATTTATTTTGGGGGGTAGAATGGTTTCCATCCCTTTTTTGTCTTCCCATCTTTCCACTTGGTACTGTTTCTGTCCCTGGTCTATGTGTAATTTAGTATTAGCTAACTTACAATAGTAAAACTAGCAAAACTAAGAGAGGGAGAAAAAAGAAAAAGAAAAAGTAAGAGAAAAAAATGGAGAACCAAAGAAATCAACAGGTATAGATGGTGGACAATCAAACAACAAACAAGACAAACAAACAGTGAAAGAACGAGAAAAAAAATAGAACAAAGAGAAAAAAAATCCCCAGTTCAGGAACATTAGGATTTCAGTCTTAGTAGTTCTGGTGTTACTCCTTTAGCATCCAGTCCTGTTTATCTGCATCTCCTAGGCAGGTGTGGAGCCAGAGTCTGGTGGTGCTGGAGCCCTTTTGCGGCAGGCAGTGTCCTGGTGGGCCTGCATGGTGGTGACCAGTGTGCCGATGGGCCAGCCGGCGGGTGGCAGCCTGGCAGTGGCAGCTTGGGGGTGGTGGCCTGCCTATTCTTTCAGTGTACTGTGATGTAGAGAAGCCTTCCATGGGCTAGGGGTTCAGGGCATCAAAGTTTCAGCTCTCCCTGGTTCTTTACCTCAACCAAGTGTGTCTCCAGCATCTCAGCAAGGTCCCTGATTCCCGGAGATCACATAATCTGCGTCTGTGTCTCAATCACCATTTTGGGTCCTCCTGGACTTATTTTAAAAATAAATGTGAAGTCCATTTATTAACATGGAAATGGAAGTGATATAATCAATTTGTGATATAAAATATTACTCTTGTTTGGTAGAGCTTGGGATAAAGAAATGGCTGTAGGAATTGAGGCAAATAAATTCCTGTGATATTTAGAACACAGAGATATTTAGTGTAGCAAAAAGAGACATTGCATTTTCTGGGTATGGGGAGTATGAGAAAGAAAAAGGAGAGAGCTTGAGAGAGAGAGAGAGAGAGAGAGAGAGAGAGATATTTGGTTTGGACATGTCTGTATATGATTCTTTTACTGCAATGGAAAATACTAGAAGAGGAGAAGTTTGAGGGAATGACAATTTCAATTTTGACTTGTTATGTATGAGTTGCATGTGAGAAAGCCTAAGGACATACAAGTAGTGTAAAAAAAGAGTGCAGACACAAAATTTAATTCATATATCCTTTATTTCCTCCTAATCTGCAACAGGTAGATTTGGGGGAAGCACATATACCACAAATATACTGGCCCTAATTCCCAGTCTTCTTAGCACCTTGATATCACAAATATACTTTAATTCATCTTCATAAAGATCTTGTTTAGCACTTTAAACAGGTGCAGAGGAAATCTCTCTAGGACAACTTTCTTCTTTGTGGTCAGGAATTCCTTATGACATAGAAGAGAGTTTTATGTCACAAGGTAAATTTATCTGTGGGGAAAGGATGAATGTGGATATGAACAGGGGTTGCATTTTTAGAGAGGAAGTTTGGACAGAGATAACGTCTGTCAGAGGGAATTGTAACTAGGATTATCTTATGACACAGTTGTATATTTTATCAAATAAACACTATAGATGTTCCTCACCTTACAATGGGCTTATATCTCAATAAGCCAATCATAAATTAAGATACTATAAGTCAATAACTTATTTAACACATTTAATCTACCTAATTTAGCAGTACTCACAGTTTAGCAACACAGAGTACTATTAAGGATCAGTTGTTTACTCTCGTGAGTATGTGTACTTGTGGGAGCTGTGGCACACTACCACTGTCCATCAGTGCAAGAGAGTATCATCCTGAATATATCACAATTCTTTTAATTTTCTACCAAAATTCAAAATGTGTGGTGTGGCTTCTACTGAATGCATTGTGTTTCCAAACAATTGTAAAGTTGAGAAAGCATACATAGAATCATCATTAAAGTGGGGACTATCTGCAAAGTAATATAGGTGGTGTAATTGAAGAACATATATAGTGGGATAAAAATAGATCATCATGTTTAGAGGTGAGTATTGAAGAAAGGGATTTTATCACCTGAGAGGATTCTAGGGATATGGAGCATGAGAAACAGAGTTACATATATTGCCAAACTGCCTTTTAACCTTACAGAAAGGTTGGAGAAATTTGGAAGGTTTGAAAATTAGCCTATACTGAATATTTTAAATGGTAATTGTTAATTATCAAATATCTAAAATGGCATAGATTTATTTCTTTGAATATGACTATACAATATTTTTCATGTGTCTGTTGATAACTTATACTCCATGAATTGTTTATTTCAACTGCCCACTTAAGATGGTTCCCCTGTAGGAACTATTTGAAGAGGAAGGATCTTTTCTGTACTGTACATCATGCAAGTTTATCCGAATTTTGTTTTTTGCTTTTTGTTTATTTTTAGACCTAGTTTTAACTATTCATGGTGTCAAATCTATGAATTGTTTTTTGCCTTTTCTTGTATGCTTAGATAGATTTATTAGCCCCACTGGGATAGATATACAGATATGTTTCTTTCTAAGCTTTTGTAAAGTTTTATTCTTTGCATTAAAGTCTTTACATGAAGAATATATAGAATGGTCTTAAGCAGTATTCTAACTCAACTTTTCCCAAACACTTCATTATTTGAGCAAGAGTAACTATGCTATCCCATGGTTTTGAAGTCTACTTTATCTTAATACTAAAGGTTTTGTGTTGTAAAGTGTTTCTGCATTTTAACATACTACCATAATTATTCTAGCCCACAGTCTGTTGAATGTTGCAAATCCCTATGTTTCCTTATACATAATGTTACTATTTTCTCAGGGATTTTTTTTTTTTGTAGTATTGGGGTTTGATCAATCAGTGTCTTGACTGTGTTTTATTTCTTTTTTAATAGATTAAAACTCTGAGTCTATGAAATAATTCTGTCTCTGATTAAAGTTATTCTTTAAACAGTGGTTTGTAATTTTACTTATATCTTTCTTAAAAGTTATGTGCCACTAGAATATCGAACACACTCACACACAGCAGATCAGCTGCTGTCAAAAGATTTATTCAAGAAAAATCAGCAAAGTGAAAACAGACCCATTTTAAAAGTCTGTGTCAGAAAAGAGTGAAGATGTATGTCCTTGAATTACTAACCAAGAGCCTAAGAAGAGTGCGATATTTAGCGTCTTAAGACCTGAAAAAAAATGACAAAAATTCAGGATACAAATCTTAACAGAAAGAAAATTAAATTGATTTATATATTTATGTACAGCATTTTCAAACAAGTGAACGTATTTATAAAATAAAATTTTTTAAGTTAGCATCCAATATAAAAGAAGAATACCTTATTTCTTATCTTTCATGTGGGTCTAAACAATGATAGAATAGCTTTAATTCCTACATCAGTGAGGGTTTCAAATATATTTTTTAATAGAAGAGAATCACTGGTGGGATACTAACAAAGAAAACTTTACCATAAGCATTTCAGAAGACCTACAGTTACTTTTATATGTTAATTTGATTCTCTTCATATTCTTAATTCTCACTAAAATATAATATTGAAGATTATAAAATGGCAAACATCATTGAATGTTGCAGCAGCTATACTTCTTCATTGTTCTCTTTATATTTCAGAAGGCTGGCATGGAATATTTTACATTGTGATAAGTAATTGTTAGGTAACTCAAACTTTGTGATACTGTGGAAACCCTGATAATACTGTTTTGAAATTTTTCCATAAACATAATCTGCTGCATGACCTCTCCTCATAAGCATCTTTATTTTCTAAGTTTAATACTTGCCTTAAATGTCCACATTCTTTCATTTTCTTAAGATTTTTGCTTGCTGATAAACTTCTTAAATGTTAAGACTTGCTAAGTGATTGCACAATTCTACATTAACATTCCTTTTGCTGCTTTTAAATCATGAAATCATCTGGATCTTCTTTCAGTAGTTTAAAGATACCCGTTTCAGCTGCAGAGGTGTCTTCCTTGGAGTTAGGGGTATCCAATACAGGAGTGCTTTCAGGAAATGGCTCAATGATCTCGGTTACAGTTCCCATTCTATTATTTTCAGACAAATATTCTGTTGTGTTAATAGCTGATTCTCCTGTGAAGTTTACAGCTGCTGTTGGAGGGACAATGAAGTCATATCTGGATTCAACAGCAGTAAGCAAAATGGAATGAGACTCTGCTTCATTTGCAGTATCTCTCTCCACCCAAACATTGACACCATCGGTAGATTCTTCATCAGTTAGAGTATCTTCTGGGTTATCTTTGTCTTTTTCAGTGGAGGTAGTGAGTTCAAACACAGTGATAAACTTTTCCTCATCAGAATCAGTTAATTCAGTCACAGTTTTGAGGTCATCCTCTGAAACAATGAGGTCAGTTTCAGTTATGTTCTCTTCTGCAAGGGCAGTTATGTCTGGAAGGGTGGTGAAGTTCTTTTCAGTAGAGGGAGAGATTTCAGCTTCAGAAGTAAAGGAGTCAGTGACCTGGGCATCCCCATCAGCAGGAACATTGGATTTGATCGAAGAATTATAATTGTTAACATCAGCTTCATCTGTTTTAGCTGGAAGGGCAGGGGTGTCGGCAACATGGGTAGTGCTGTCTTCTAGTTTGCCAGAGACTTCAGTAGTCAATGAGATATCTTCATTGCCTGTGTCAATGGTAGCCAAGAGTATATCTTCTTTTGCCACATTAGTGGGAAAGTCTATTAAAGAAACAGTGCCAACCGGGGATGAAATATTCCCAATTTTCACTGGAATGAAATTTTCAGTAATTGATTCCTTAGCTACAGTGTTTGGAGTGCTGGTCAGAGAAGTAATTTCTTTCTCCAGATGAGTTGTTGACTTAATATGGGTCTCAACATCATCTTCTGATTTAAGTCTTTCTTTTGTAGGGGGAAGCTTGTTGCCAGTAGTTGAAAAATCACTTTCTAGTGAAAAGTCATTTACAGAAGTAACGTGATCTCCTTCAGAAGTAATAGTTGTTTCTGATCTAGGAATAGTGTTGTCAGCCCCAAAGAACATGGTTGCTTCAGTTGGTGTTTTGCTGCTTTCTCTTGGAGGATGAGAATACATTTTAGGCAAACCGTCTTCAGCCATGGGGTGAAGTGGCACTAAGCACTCTCACAGGTCTTTCTTCTGGGCTTAGTGGCATCCCTAGGCAGGAGAGTAATGTTTATGACAGCAATTCAAGCATTGGTCATCATGGTGATTGTTGCATCAACAACAGGGGCAATGTCACTGGCTGACCTTGGAGGCTGTTTCTTTGCTGTAATTGGACCTCTACTTGCAAAAGTATTGATATTAGATGAAAAGACAATGGGGTTCTCTCTGATTATAAAATAAAAACTCACACCAAAATATTTTCATTACAGGGAACTTAGGGTTTACCATGTTTCCTGGTATGGAGCTAGTGTCACTTGAAACAGACATAGCGAAGCCTGATGAGTATTTTGTAGGTTTAGTGGTCACTAATAGAAACCCTAAAATCCACAAGATTATCAGCATCAGTTTAGAGTCACCTATCTTCTAAGTAAGTGACTGTGCCTTTTTTGAGGTAAAGCCATCTTTCCTTGAGATTCATGGTATTTAAATGTTTAAAAAGTTAATGGCAGTTTTGGCAGTGAGTGTAGCTGAAGAAGGTAATTAGGTTGCTTTTCGTCAGAGAGGGAAGTCTTACTTTTTCAGTAGGAATTATAAAAAAAACAAGTTATTGGTCTGTCCTAACAGACCGGGTTAGGGTTAGAATTCAGTTAATTTTTAAGAAACTGTGAATGTATCAAGTTTTGTAGGTTTAGTGTTATAGGAATGTTTTTCTGAAGACAGCATTGTTTTAGCCCTGAAAGACATTTCTGATGGAGAATTGGTATTATGTGTCAAAATTTACCTAGTAGCAAGAATTGGTATGAAGCTGACCAGTGGCTCAGGCCTATAATCCTAGCTATTCAAGAGGTAGAGATAAGGAGGATGGTATTTCGAAGCCAGCTTGGGAAATAGTCCACAAGACCCTGTCTCAAAAATACCCAACACTAAAAAAGGCTGGCGGAATAGTTCAATTGGTAGAACACCTGCATAGCAATGGTGAGTCCAAGTTCATACCCCTGTACCACCAAAAAAGAAAAGAATCAGGGTGTGAAATAGCTATTAGATCTAGGGATTATATTTGCAACTTCAGAGGGAGTTTGTCTTTTATAGTTATGTCAGTTATATTAGGCATTATCATTGTGCTATCAACTTTAAGATTTAGGTAATTAGGTGAAAGGGGAATTAAGTCTAGTGTTAGTTAATGCTTTAAAGCTGATTTTTTTCCAATGCTGTTAGAAAAATTCCCAATGGAATTTTAAGAATCAGGCACAACTAAATGTGAGAAAGGTCAGCAGCATTAGCTGGAGTAGTAGTTTCTATCTTAAGGACAAAAACATTTCTTAATTAGATTTGAATGCATCCTAAAGCTTATGGCTTCCTCTCATAGCTGACTGGCCTGGCATAGATACATTATCATTCTCTGTAGCAATATCAGAGTAAATTATAAGATGGACGCTTTTGATTTTAAAGATAGGAGTAGCTTTTCTAGAAATGTTTTTGCTTCAAAAAGATTCACTGTTGAAGGTTCCATGTCTTTTTTATTTTTTTGAAACAGGGTCTTGTTTTATAGCTCAGGTTGGTCTTGACTCTGGATCCTTCTTCCTTAGTCTCCTGAGAACAGAGTACAGGCTGATGCCCCTGCATTCACCTCCAGTGTCTTTTGTGATATAGGGAATGCTGTCAGCATCAAGGACAGGGAAGGATGTCTCAAGTGAGAAAAAGCATAAGTTCTTTGTTTCTAAATATACTGTCAGTTCCAGGAGCAGTAGAAGTCACAGGGTAAAGTCATCCTCTGAATTAGCTAATGTAATGGGAAGATTCTTTTAACCTGTTGTTTTTTTTTTTAGAGGATTAATGTTTGTGGAGCTTGATTCAGTATAAGAAGCAAAAGACATGCATTGCACAGAAGATTTGATGTCCTTTTTGGAAAAATTTCCTTGTATAAAGAAAGGAAAAATGGATGAAGAGGTAAGCTGTATGGTTGCTGAAAGCAATCTGCAGGACCTGATATTTGTGATGTTGAGCAGAATTAAAATCATGTGCAAAAACATTCAATTTTATGAGCATGTAATTTCCAGTTAGCTGTGTTGGATGAAATGATTGTATTATCTTCATTGATACTAATTTGTCAAGCAGTCTTTAATTTTAAGGATTCCTTTGGTAGTCATACCAACTCTGCACTTACCAGTGTCACTGTGGAGCGGAATTACATTGATTGCAGTATAATAGTGCAATCAGAAATGTTATACCATTATCTGTGTTTTCTAAATCATTGACCTTAAGGATACTTCAGGTTGAGTGTTTGTCATCCATCAAAGGATGAAAAGAATATGATGGAAATTCTGGTTGGATTGCATGAATTTTAACAGTTTTGAGGTTGAAATTGGAGTGATTTGCTTCAGGGAACATAGTACAATCCTTTGACCTATAGATCATTGTTATCAAAGATATAAAGATGGAGATTAAAGACAGAGAATTGGATTCCATAGATAAACTTTATTATATTTGAATAGATGTTTCTTCCATTGTTGGAGTGTCTATCACACTAATCAGCACATTTTGTCTTTTCTCAGGAAGGTATTAAAATTATATCTATTGATATATCCTAGAGTACACGTCTCTTACGTGCTATAAATTTTGAGGCTTTTGGCTCAGTGATTATGCTTTCTTAATTTTAAGCAATAACTTCTTCAGACTCATGATAAAAAAGCTTTTTGCTCTCATAAGGTGAAAAAGTAGAATCTGCTAGCAAAAATGGAAATATTCTCAATAAGTTCCCAGGAATGCACATTTATAGTTTTCAAGCATATCTGATTAAAAAAATACATCATCAGAAACAAACTTTTAAAAATATTGACATCATAATGATATATATTGAGACTTTGTGTGGAGTTATACATTGATATTCATCAGAAGAAATGTTATGGGCAATTTTAAAAGAAATCAACTTCCAGACAAGTATCTCTCCCATGGACACTACGATTTCTGTTTTGAAAGAGCATATATACCTTCAGCATTTATAAATTTATTAGAGAAAATAGTTATTAATTGAAGTGATTATAATTATTTAGAATCACCATTGAAGCTTTATTCTCATTATCTTCATTCACAAAGTTATTCCTATCTTCAGAAAGTGAGAGAAGCAGTCATATTTTGAGAATTGTTTATGTCAATATCCACATTTTTGTCTTCTTTTCCTTCAGTTATTGGAATACTGGATGCTTGACTATGATGTTCTGTGGGGTCACTATTCCTTTGTTTCCAAGAAAGATAGTATTTATAGTAGAGTCAGTCATGACATTCATATCTACTTTGTCATTTATAGATATCCTCAAGGATATCTTTTGAGATAATTGCCTTTATCTGGAACTGAGGGATATCAGCCGTAAAAAATTTGTTTTCTTTAACTTCCTTGTTAATTTGTGATACAAAAGAAATTTCTTGAAAGCTAGGTAATATTTTTCTCTCAACAATGGGCTCATGAATAACATTCCTACTTTCTGAATCTTGAAGTTCAGTGTTTGTTGCTCTGAGATTGGCTATATTCACTGTCACTGAGAATTTTCTTCTGCCAGGGAAATAATCTCTGGGTATGGTAAAGATTTTTCATTAGGAGGGACAATGGAAATTAATTCTGTGGGGAAATTTGTGTCTCCAGTTGTGTTATTGGTTTCAGGAGGAAGAGAGCTAGCTGAGAGAGAATCTTTGGTCTTGGGAAAGTTTGAATATGTTGCTTTAAAGATGTTGTTATCATTCTTATTGACTGACTTATCACCAGCAATCAGATTTTTATTCATGAGATGTGGGTTTAAGTCAGCATGTTGTAGAGGGTTTGTTTCCATTTGGATAGCTGTATCATTTCCTATTATATTTACATCTGTAAGGTTATTCACTTCAAATTCAGTAGCTGTGACTTTTGCTGCAGAACTTTTAGTTATTTCTTTTGTGTAATAGAAATTTGAATCACTACAGTCACTAGGGAAAAAAGTAGAAAACTTGGTAATTGTTTCCTTGAAAATGCCACCTACCTTTTCTGTAATGTTTTCTACAAAATCAGTTATTTCATCTTCAGTAGCTATCTCTCTCTATATAAAATCTTTGTGCCCAAATATATTCCCTTTTGAAGTGCTTGCTATGTTTTCCTCAGAGCTAATGGTGCCAAGAAAAATGCCAACTTGATCAGATGGAATAATTTCTTCCTTAGATAGAATGTTATAATCAAGTATTCTTGTGGAACCTTTTGCCATAGTAGAAACAAGAAGTTCAGAATGTTTGGGAGAACCTATGGATGTGAAATCAGAAGGAGGAAGAAATGACCACTTTTGTAGGATATATGATCCAGTTGGAATATTTTTGCCAAATCCCCCAATATTAGCAACTTTATCATGAGAGGCAGAGCTTTGATAATTAGGTATAGATAATTCTGGAAGAGTTAATACAGAATCAGCCGGAAAAATTACTCTCAAATTGGGAGGTGCTTGAGATTCAAAAGAAATAGTATCAAACTTAACAGTAAAAGAATCACTCACTGTATAGCAATCCTTATCTCAACTAGCAAAAACCCTTGGTCCTTCCTATTATTGCTGATACTCTCTCTTCAACAAAATTAGAGATAAGGGCAAAATAGTTTCTGCCTGGGTAGCGAGGGTGTGGGGAGGGGGAGAAGGAGGGGGCAGGGTAGGTAAGGGAGAAGGTGGAGTGGAAGAGGGGAGAAATGACCCAAACATTGTATGCTCATATGAATAAAAGAAAAAAAAAAGAATCATCATTCAATGGACTCGTGTCTTCTGGAAATAAATTTATTTCAGAAATACAGAATTCCTCATTGATATTTTCATGGTTGGAGAGTGGATTGGGCTTAGTTGATGAAAAAACAGTTTTGTCCATAGCTGGAATGAGAACTTTTGCATTTTTATGTGGCCTAGTTCAAGTTTAGCCACTGGATCTCCTTGATCAGAAAGATTAACTCTTTTCTTAATCTTGTAAACATTATCTTGAGACTTTTCTATAGGAGA